TCCCCTTAGTTTAGCATCTTTGCTCTCCTATGCAGGTTTCAGAGTCTGTTCTCCAATCCATTTTTGTCTTCCCCCTGCCTTTTTTCCCTACACTGCCCTTTTGTTTTCTCGTGGATTATGTTCCTGGTGTCATTCCACAATTCATCTGGTCTTCAGTTACTGGTGTTTAAGGCACCAAATCTATTCATAATATTTTTTTAAAAATTCAGTTGGAATATATTCAGAGTCATATTTTGATTCCAGCAGACTTGTTTAAATTCTACTTAACTTGGATTTGAAATTGCATGTGAGTAGTTAATGGACTCTTTCACAGTGAGTGCCTACCCATGTTTTGACTGCTAATACTGAGTTTTTCCAATGTCTCTTTCCAAAGCTGTAGTTAGATTTCTCTGTAGTCCATCAGGTGGAGCCCATGCATATAGTCTCCATTTATTATTTTTAAAAATATTCACAACAAATAATTAATTTATTGCACAAAATTCTGTCACTTGAGCTCCAGTCTCATGTCTGCCACCAGGCTATATTTTCTAACCAGTAGTCTTTCTTCTTTGTTTTCAACTTCTCTATTTTAGTCACCAATTACAATTATTGCCTCTTGCTTGCATGTTTAATCAAATTCAGACTGCAAAAGTTGGTAGAAATCCTCAATTTCTTCATATTTTATGATTATTTCATGATTGGTGCACACCTTTGAATAATGGCTGTATTAACATGACTTCCTTATATGAGTATGGATAATGTCCTATTATTCACAGCATTATATAAAAGAATAGACCTTGAAATGCTCTATATGGTAATGAATGTCACACCATTTCTCTTCAATTTATCATTTTTAGCTTTATTGTTGTTGAGTCCCTTTAAGTCAGAAGCAAGCCATAGCTGACCCACACAGGCAGTGATTGTCCATCCCTGCAAAGCAGCTGGTGGACTTGAACTGCGTGCCTTCAGGATTGTAGTTCAGTTTCTTACCACTAAGTTACCAGAGCTCTATCTCAGCTCACTAATGCGCTCCAATGTCATTGTTGACAAGTTCGTATTCTCCTACATTCATAGTTCGTACATTCCATGTTCCAAATATTATTAGATGTTTGCAGTTGTTTACCCATATTTCCAGTCTTGTCACATCAGCCAATGGAAGGCCTTCATTTGAAAGATGTTTGAAATGGAGCAGATAATAATGATGTGGGTCAAAATGATGGATAACAGTAAGAAAGTTTTACTCCATCTGCTCATTATGATGGACTGTACTTTGAGGAGGGAGCTCTTCCCTGGTCACATTTGGAGTGCCTTCCAATCTGAGGACTGGGCCGAGCACTATATCCAACAACATTCTTCCATTGTCCATAGAGTTTTTCAAGGCTTGTTCTTTTAGAAGAGGAAACCAGTCCTGCTTTATTAGCCTACGAGAAAGATCTGCTAGTACAATTGTTTGTCAAATATGTACAACAACCACAAAAGCCAAAGATGAAGAAAGTGAAAATTTCTACCAACTTTCATTCTGAAATTGCTCAAACATGTAATCAAGCTGTATTAAAAACAATTGGCGACTGAAATGCAAAAGTTGGAAAGAAAGATGGGCTGAATGTTGGAAAATAGGATCTTAGTAACAAAAATGTGGCTGGAGATGATGTGATAGAATTTTGTGCAATGAATAATTTATTAAGTGCACATGATTTAAAAAAACATGAACAAGCAGAAGGGTAAGGATGGGCAGGGGTGTAATCATAAGGTGGTACACTGTGATGAGTAGAGGGAGGGGTAGATAAAGAAAATGGGGAAGATCTGGCATGAAAAACCAAGGTATAAGAACTTGGGAAATAAACCAGTTAACATTTTATTAAAAACAAAACAAACATGAACAATAATTATACACATGGACTTCACCTGATGAACTACATAGGAATCAGATTGATTATATATGTAGAAAGAATCCTTGAAAAAGCTCAATACCAACAGTCAAAACCAACCCAGGAGCTGATTGTGAATCAGACCATCAATTAATTTCTCATATGCAAGTTCAAAATGAAAGTGAAGAAAATGAAAACAATCCATGAGAACAAAAAAAAATACTATTTGAGTCTCTCCCAGCTGAATTTATTCACACACACACATGTACAAATATACGTTTTCATTGTTGTTAAGTGCTGTTTAGTCAGACCCATCTCATGGCTGACCCTCCAGTGGGTTTTCAGAGACTGTAAATGGCACAGGAGATTACATATCTTTCTCTTGAGAAGCAGCTGTTGGATTCAAACCTCCCTCCTGATTATTTCAGAAACTGCAAATGTATGGTCAATGGGTAGGCAGGCTGCTGATTCAAGTCTAAATAACCAGAGGTACTAAAACCAAATGAAGGATCCAACATCCATGTCCATGTATAATTGACATCCAAGATGAAACTCAACTTTCAACTCTGGTGCTTTTCATAACAGATCCCATCATAGAGTTGATTGCATTTATGTAGTATGTCACCATAGAAATTATTATTTTACATCAGATCTCATTATGGAAATGGATACACCATAACTCCCAAAGATTGTTGTTATTGTTGTTGTATACTGTCAAATTGGAACAATGCATAGCTGATTTTCCAGTAATTTTTCAGAGACAATTAATCAAATGGGAGGTGATAGGCTATCATTCTCCCATGGAGTAGCTGGTGAATTCATACCATACACCTTCAGGACTGTAGCCCAGTTTCTTACCACTAAGCCACCAGAGCTTCGAGGTAGCTAAGTTGATAAGATAAGTCTTCATTCAACCACCATATTGTCCTATTCTCCAGGAAATGAGACTAAACGCACATTTTACACAGCAAAGTCTGAGTCTGAAGTCCAGGACTTCTTATCCCAAGTCCTTCTCAAAGAAATAGAAGATATTTGTGTGAAGTTCCTATTCTCTCAAGGACACCATGCTCTGAAAGCTTCATCAAGCTCTTTTATAATCTGCTTGCAGTTTTGTGTCCTTCTCATGAAGCCTCAAAAACAAGCCTCGTGAGGTCACTAAAGCAACTGACACTTGTGATGCCCCTACCTTTCTCTCTCCTACCTAAACATTTCTTTCTATTTGCTCAGAAAGCACCGTGTTCTCCCTCCAAGGCTTTATTGAGGGGACTGGAGACTACTAGGGTTGTGCCCTTTTTCTTATTTTATTTCCCTTCACTATTTGTTTATGCTTATTATAATTTTTCACTCCTTTAAAAAAAAATCATTTGGAGCAGAGTTTCTCATCGAAGGTAAACAATCGAAAGTTTTAGGTGAGAGGGAGAATCTTACTCTAAAGGAGCCCTGTCCATCTCTGGCATTGGGATTCATAAAATGATACTACATATAAGACATGATTCTTGATGGTACAAGTTCGCTCCTCTACCCCTACATCTGAATTAGGTTGTGGCCCAGCTTCTCTCAGAAATATATCTGCACAGAGCGTAGAATTCTCACTGCTGACAGAGCGACACTGTATTAGCACTCACTGTGAGTCTTGCCTTGAATTGGTTCTGATTTTCAATTGCTGCTATTACTGTATCAATCCATTTATGTATACACTCACTCTTAGTGTTTATTTTTGCTGATTGCCTTGTTCCACTTCAATTGTGATTTTGTTCTTCTCCAATGCTTTATTGTCTCCAATTTCATTTCCCACTAAAAAGTAGTGACAGGATCACCACTGATATCCTGCAGTAAGTCACATTCCTAAATGTTTGAAGGGAATTCCTAACACCTAACCTCAGGTAATCCTGAATGACAGTTCTCTTTTGTTTTGTGGAAGACATGTATAGCTCTAAAAAAAAAAAAAATTCACTGAGTTTGGCAAAAGCTTACAATAAAAATTACAGACTTTAGGAGGGTAATGGAGCCAGCGACAAACACTCAAAATTTCATTGGTGACACATAAAAAATGAAAGAAAAGATGCTTCTCAGTCCTATATCATCTTCATGATCTTTAACATGTTTACGTTGATCGTCATGGCCATTGGGTCTGCCAAGGTTCTTCTCAGTTATGGTTTTTGTTGTTTTTATTTTTCTACTCGTTTATTTACAAAATTAAAATACAAATTTGAACAAATTCTTTCCATTTCTCTCATTCCCCCCCCCCATCAAATTGTACATCCCAATGATTAATCCCGCCTTCCCCCTGCACATCCACATCCCTTTGCTTCCAGCCTCTCCAACCCCTCCTGGATCCTTATACTCATTCTACAATAACGATCTTATACAATATTTATCCTTATGAAACTGAACTAGTTCACTTGGCATAATGTTCTTCAGTCTCTCCCAAGTTAGGTAAAAATTTACAAAGTTATCGCTCCTGCGTACTGTATAGTATTCCACTGTGTGAATGTACCATAATTTCTCAATCTATTCATTTTGGCTGTTTCCATATCTTCTGAGTTAGAAGACTCATCTTCGAGTACTATTTTGGAAAATAATCCACTGTGACTCACAAGGTTCTTCTCTTGGACTAACTTATAGAAGTCACTCTCTTGGGGTTTCTTCCAAATCTGGAAGCTCTACTGAATCCTATCCACCATCGGTGACCATGCTGATGTTCGGAATACCAGCAGCCTAGCCTCCAGCATTAAAACCAATTTCCTGGGAGTGAAGTGGTGTCTCCTTTTGGTTCTGATTCAATTCCTCCAATTGTTGGTGACGTTGAGCATCTTTTCATGTGCTCTTTGCCTGTCTACATACCCTCACTTTGTTATGGTCTTTGGATCTTAAACATGACAGTTTATATTTTTATAAAAAAATATAAGTCTTGTGTATCTATTTCTATTTTATTTTATAAGTCTAATGTATCTATTTTTTTTTCTTTAATTTCTCATTATTTTGGTGTCACATATTCTACTATTTTTTTCCATCAATGTTATGGAACAAAATAAGTATGAATGACTGGCAAGGAAAAAAAAACCCACACACTATGCTATGTAAACATTTACACAAAGCAAAATAAAGAGATGTAAATAAAGAAATAAAGTCACTTCTTCCCTTTTTATCCAGATTGGACCAAAAGAATCGAATATCAGCCCGGCTCCGGCAGTCTGCCTTTGTTTCCCAGCATCCACCTGGAGACATGTGATGGGCCTGTGTCCTCCATTCAGATCACGATTGAGCTGCAGACCAACTACATCGGCAAAGGCTGTGACCGGGAGACCTATTCGGAGAAATCCCTTCAGAAACTGTGTGGTATGTTTTTCTGGTTATATTTTGTTTTTCATAATTTATTCATTACTGTTGTTATGTGCTGTTGGGTTGCACCCTCCTCATAATGTAGCTGACCCAGAGGAGGTAAATTGCTCTGAGACTGTGCACTTATCTCCCATGGAGCAGCTGGTGGGTACATTGGAACCACATGCTCTTTGAGTTGGCAGCACAATTCCGTACCCACTAGGCCACCAGAGTTCCCTTAACATGTGTTATTGTTATGTGCTGTCAAGTCGCCTGTGACTCATAGCGACCATATGTACAACAGCCCTAAATCCTGCTCTGTCCCTTGCCAATTTTATTGTCTCCGACATGCCTATCCCCATTACCCCAGTGACAGGATCAATCCTTCATATATATATA